ATCAGCAATAGTCACCAATCACATATCTCCATGCATCACTGGGGATGACAAATTAGCTGCAATCAGACCGGGCTTTGGCAGGCTCTGGAGCAGTGTCTGTACCTGCCCAGTTCAAATTACTATGGTTAGATTTTGCCAACTCGCTCATCAAGTGGCTCAAGCTCATTGAACGACTCACAAAACACTCCTCTTGCTCAAAGTTACATGAGCCAGCTCTGAAACAAGCTCCCCTCAGCAGCCTCATGCTCCTTATGCAGAGGCACTAAATGGCACAGAAGCACTGACTTACAGTAGTACACGACTAATTCATTCTGCAGCCCTCTTCTGAGTAGGAGTGATTCGTACAACTAATAGGCAACACTCTTAAGGAACAGACCTGCACTGAGGAAACGAAGGGTCTGTTAGAAGCTGAGTGCTTTGCCTGCAAGTTTCATGTTTCCTTAATATTCTTTTAAAAGGATTTTTTTCCTTAAACATACCACTACATGAATCAACTGGATCTTATCCCCCTTTATTTTCGTAGCATGAAGTGCCCAAAAAACAGCTGAACTGACAGTCTTAATCTTCACAGCATGACAGAGGCCAGGGACACCAATTAAAAGTGTTTATAAATTCAGTGTAGGAGGAAGATATACTTGTTAGGGTGGGTCATTCAACACTGGCACCTCACATAACTCCATATGGACATGCAAGATAAGCATATCCCTTCAGTTGCCATCTCACCAGGCTTTCACCTCGCTGGAAAGAGCTGGTTCAACTTCAAACAACAAATAAAAGATGGGTAATATGGTTGTAGCATTTACTCAAGCTAAAATGGCTCCCAGATTTTATTGCACTTTATAGTCATGGCAATTGGAAAACATGGTTTGCAATGTCCAGTCAAGAACTGTCAGGAAAATTGGTGACAATGCCAGGACTGCAACCCAGTTCACACTCTACTCTCATTGCTGAAAACACATCTACACAACCACCTCTAATGACACCTTAAGAGTGTTTAGACAAAGGTGTGCAAGGAGAAACACTTTGTGATGAATATAGTGTGCTGGTTTGGTCAACTAACCTGACTCACAAACACTGGCCACAGGTTACTTTCTCCTTTGGGATTTACTAAAGATAAATTATATCCAAAAACTTGAGACAGTTGGTGTTTCATGACAGCCATAAGGAAAATGGGCACCAATAAACAATACAAACCTTTCCCAACAGTTTACCTGAGGTATCATGTTTTTAAAGAAGGCTGGTTTTCATAAAAATACAGGCAACATTCACAAAACTGTAATGCATCATGTGATGCTTGCAATGGAAAGCTGCACATATGCAGCATCAACCATGGCAAAAATGTGAGTACAATCCCCACTGTGTTGATCCTTCCTTAAAGGAATAAGGATAAAGATACAGAATGAGCTTCAGCTGGTACTTGCCTCAGGTTAATTGGCAACTGGTTTGCATATGAGGAAGTGTAAATAGCTGCTTTAAACACAAATGAGAAGCAGGTCCAATTCCCACCTTTTCATAAGCACAATACTTGAAAGAACAGGTTCTCAGAAACACAGACCTTTCAAACATGCTACTAGAGACCTAGGTCTGAATTATTCCCTATCCACTGCAAAAATAAGCTGGTAAAGCCACCTTACTTAATACTAAACACTGCTCTTCAGTGCACTAGTTCCTTACCCTTCAAGGATGAGAAGCCTCCAGATGATTAGGCTCCTAAATTAGTCACCAAAACCACATGTCTGTGAGCCCTTCTCAAGAAGCAGTCACTGCAAGGCTTGCAGTTTGCGCTAGAAAAAACCTGACTTATCCCCCCTACCTCTGAACACTTTGTTTACAACCATAAATTCAACCATAGCCCAGTGGCAAGAACAAGATAAACAATTTCTTTCTTCCTTTTCTTCCCAACATGCAGTTGAAGGTGACTTTCAGCAAGTCCACCAGTGGAAATTAAACTCTGTTGAAAAGAAGTAATTTGAAGATATGCAATCCAGTTAACTCAGTAACATACCTAATTGAAAAAATACTACTGAGACACTGCTTGGACTTGAATAATGCCACTGAGCCATCAATCTGCAAACACATGTAGAACCCAAGTTTCCATACAATGATTATTAGGCAATTGCTTGATTTTGCTACTTGGGAAGATTTTGCAATAACAGAGAAAGAAACAAATCCATAATGAAAGTGCATGGGAGAGTTAAAAGCCTTCCAACCCCCCACAGCCCTTCTCTATGGCCAGGCCCACCCAGCCTACTTTGTATCCACTTCCTTTCATTGTCCCCCATTCTCCAGAGCTTGATGTGAAACAGAGTCCAAAAGGATCCTCAGCGCACACCATGTTCATATCAGCAGTTTGTTATCATCTGCAGTAACAACTTCAGACAGGCAGCTAGAAACACAAGTTCTAAGGAGTGTTCTGTCTCGTCTTCCAATACACATTATAAAATGGCTGCACCACATTTACTCTTCTTTACCTTTTCTATGCAAAGTCACTGTCCTTCGAACTGTGACGTGATAGCAAAGCTCTGCTATAATTCCAGACTGGAATATTAACTAAAACCCCACAGAAATGCAACAGAAACTGTTCGAACACAGAAGCTTGCCTTAATCCCCACAAGACTTCTCATTTACATTACCAAAGAGCAGACAAGTACCCAAACCCCATTCCTAAAAAGGTTTGCACACAAGTTGTAGGAATTGCAAGAGGCGTTCACACTTGGAGCCTCCTATGCCCCATGTGGTACAGGCAGCCAATAATGCTCACAGCAGTTGATACCGCACCATCAGGGTGCTGGTAAAACCTCACCAAGCCGCTGCACTTAGACTTGTGCTTGTCTTGTCCCCCCCCTTTCAGACAGGGATGCAAAGGCTGTCTCCTCACTCATAGCAGGGGCACGTCTGCATTCCCAGTCTGCCATTGATTTCCTTTGGAACTGCTCAGCCAGTTTAAGCGTAAGCAGGAGCCTCTTCATCACCATCACAGTTAATTTAACTCTACCACCATCACGGGCAAGGCTCTGAAAACTGCGAGGTTCTCTTCTGAAATAAAACTATTAATCAGATAGGATTAATGCTCACACAAGGAAATGCAGAAGTGTTAAACCTGTCAGATTTTTATTAATCTCTATGTTTTATGGAACACTTACCCTTTGAAAAGCCACACTGTGTTCCCCAAGCATGCAGATTAATAGTGCGAGTGAACTAAATCAACAAAACCCACTCTGGCCCTGGGTTAAGGTGTACTCAGCACTTAAACCGAAACTCTTAAGTGTGTCCTGAGCATGCCACAATAAACAGCCTTCGAGAACCAGCTTTAGAGGAGACCTGTCCGTAGTACCTGCTGCTGGCAACCTGCTACAAAGGTTTAAACCCCTTTTCCTTGCTGCTGGAGCCCACGGACACGGCTCAGGCCCTCAGCTTCCTTCAGACTGAAGGTGATTCAAGGCTTTGAGGTAAACACTTCGAGGTTTACCTTTCTCTCTTCACATTGAAGGGAAACCTCCCCTAAACGGCAAGCAAACACTCCCCACCCCCCAAAACAGGCCAGCCCCCGTCTCCAAACACATTCGCCTTCCTTCAGCCGAGCTAGGCAGGCTCCTCTGGTGAAGGGCAGCTTTAGCAATCACCTTCCTCTGGAGAGCGGGACTGAGAGGGAAACATCTACCTCAGGAAGCCGAGCTCCTCTTCCCGCGCTCGGCCCCGGGCGGGCTCACCCCAGGGCCGCCGCCTCAGGGCAACAGGCACGGGGCGCGCCACGCCGGCGGACGGGAGCAGGGACCCGCCCGGCTCCCGCTCCGCTTCCCGCGCCTCCCCTCAGCACCCACAGTGACCTCCCTGCTCCGCCGCGTCCTTATCTCACCCCGCCCCGGGAACGCCATTGGCTATTCCCGCCGCCCATCATCCGGATCCCCGCCTCCCATTGGCCAGATGCCCACCCATCAGCCGGCTCCCCGCCTCCCATTGGCCATCTGCCCACTAGAAGACGGGCGCACGAGCAACTTCCTCGTCCGTCCGGCGGCGCCTCGCGCTGCGATTGGAAGAGCGGCGGCTCCTCAACCGCCCATCGCCCCCAATCACTCGCGAAGAGAGCCGCCAGTCACGCCGCCGCCTCGCCTCCGAGTACCATTGGCCCAGTAACCCCTTTTCGGGCTTTCTTTTCTCTTCATTGGCTAATTGGATCGGATAGGGAGCTGCGATTGGGCAAAAAGCAGGTCTCGGGGGCGGAACTCGGCTCGGAGGGAGAGTTAATTGGCCGTCAGGCCGGACCGGCACCATGTGATTGGCAGGAGAGGTGAAGAAGGCGGGGCCGCCCGAGGTGAGGGTTGTGTGAGGTGAGGGAATCTCGCGGGGTCTCGCTAGCTCTGGGCGCGGAGGCGCGCGGTGATTGGGCGGCGGGGGTCAAGGGGGCGGGACTGAGTCAGGGAGTCTCTGCAGCGGCCGAGTCCTATGGGCCGGCGGCGCTGGGTCCCGGTCGGTGATTGGGTGGGGGCGGCTCTCGCGGAGCCTGGTGGGCCGGGTCCGATTGGCTGCGGGCGGGTGTCGGGCGCGCGCCCCGCATGGGGGCGGAGGGGGGGGGGGGTGGCCGGCCCGGGTGCGCGTGCCCGCTGTGCGCTCCGCGCTGGGGCTCCGTGAGAAGGTGAGTGCCGGCGGCGGGCGAGGCGGCGGCCGGGGGGCGGAGCGGCGCGGAGCGGCGGCGGCCTGAGGAGAGCCCGGCAGCCCGCTGCCCCCACCGCTGCTGCCGCACGCACGCACCGGAGACCCCCCCCCCCTTCCTCTTCTTCCTCCCTTCACCCGCTGTCCCGCGCCCTCCCCGCCCCGCTGAGGGGGGGCCGCGGCCGCCCGCGCTCCCCGCTGAGGCGCTGCCCGCCGCCGGCCCCGGGTCGGGCTGTCAGGGCTCCGCCGCCGCCGCCCCCATCGCCCCCCGGCCCTCCCCTGTCATCCATTTGTCACCCGCCCCCTCCCCGCCCTGCCCCGGCCCTTCTCCTCACCCTCTATTTTTATCCGCTTCCCAGCCCGCTGCCCTCCCGCCCGCCCCCGCGCCCTCCCCTCCTCGCCCCTCACCACTTCTCCTGGGCGCCCGTGCTTGTTTCGGGCCTTCCAGGAAAAGTTGCAGAGTCCCGAGTTGTTTGATTTATTTTATTCTTTCTCTCTGTTCGAGGGAGCAGGTGTCTGAAGGAGGGAGCTATGTAGGAGGTGCCGGGGCACTCAGGGAGGTTCCGAGGCGATAAGTGGAGAGGATGTGGGAATGGAAGGGATAAAGTCGCCAGTGCTCTCAGGGTGTTCCAGGGGAGAGACTCGGCACCCTCCTCCTGCGGGGAAGGGGGATTGAGCACCCCAGTTCTGTTTCATTAACAAACAAACAACAAAGTGAAGGACAGAACCAAACCCAGCCCAACCCAGTGGCCCGAGGATGGAGTTTCAGTAGCCACCCACAGCTGGACTCTTGGGGGAAGAGGGTTCGTGCACGCTGGCTCACGCACACATGAAGAGAGTCTCAAAGTTGTTTGGCTTCACGAAGAGATAAGGCCGGTCGAGCTCAATGTTTTTAAAGGTGGGCCGTGTATGATGAAACCCAACGTCTTTTAAAGTGTAGCAGATTTCATTTTTATGGCCAAATGACAGCTTGACCCAGTTGTTATCCAATCAAAGGGCATTTTTTTGAATGTCTCTTTGTGGCACAACAGCCAACGCAAAAATGATGGCGGCTTACAATGGCGGTACGTCTGCGGCGGCAGCAGGTCACCACCACCACCATCACCACCACCTTCCTCACCTCCCTCCTCCTCACCTCCATCACCACCACCACCCTCAGCATCACTTGCACCCTGGCTCTGCAGCTGCGGTCCATCCCGTGCAGCAGCATGCCTCTTCGGCGGCTGCGGCTGCGGCGGCTGCGGCCGCAGCGGCGGCGATGTTAAACCCGGGGCAGCAGCAGCCGTATTTCCCATCCCCGGCACCAGGCCAGGCCCCTGGACCAGCTGCAGCAGCCCCAGCTCAGGTACAAGCTGCAGCAGCCGCTGCAGTTAAAGCGCACCATCATCAGCACTCACAACATCCACAGCAGCAACTGGACATTGAGCCGGACAGACCTATTGGATACGGAGCCTTTGGGGTTGTCTGGTGAGTAAAGAAAACAAAAACCAAACCGATTTGTTCATTTTTTACCAGATCATAATTCATCCTTGGCTTTGTCATTTGTATCAGAATACCAGAAAGCTGCTTACTACAGTTTTCACTGGGTTTTTTCTGTTCTTAGAAAGTTGGCTTCACTTGTTTTTGTTGGCAGAAGGAGGTTTAGAGTGGTGAAGAGCAACCTCTGACCAACAGGCCACACCACCATTCTCCTCTGAGACAAATGCAACGTGTACTTCTTATACATTTCATTAGAATATGCATTCTGTGTAGCTGAGCTGTGCTTCCTAAAATTTCAGGTTAACAAATGAGCATTAGAATATATGATGTGACCTGACTTAAGAGGTAGGAAGTAAAAGCATATGAAAATGTCTTCCTTCTTCAGTCACCTGTCAAGATCTTTGTCTAGGAGACTGTTTGACCTGCGGTAGCGTGCTGTGTGCTACCTGAATCAGAATGCCTGAACTTTGCTCTCTTCTCATAAATGTAAATGGGCTTTTTCCGTCTCACGGTAGCACTGCCTGCAGTCCTTGTGTTCCCCTTCCTGCTTCAGAGGGTTCTCTCAGTGGAGCACAATCTTTTGTACTGTATTCTGTGACCACTTTGATGCAGTGTATGTAATTATTGCCCTTCCCGATCACTGAAGCAAGACTGATGTGATTTTTTTCTCTCTCTCCATTTTTCATAAATGGCTGTCAGTTTACGGTATTCCGACACGTTCATTAGGAGCACGGAGCAGCCTCGGTGCTGGTGCTGAGATCAGGCATGTTGCAGCACACTTCCTGTACGGCAAACACAAAGTTTGAAGTGTGCCACTGTCTGTTGTGGCCCTGCAGAACTTTCCACAGCGCTCGGTCCCTGCGACGTTCTGTGGTGCTCGAGGAGCTTTGCCTTAGGTACAGCCCGAGCTGTAATTCTACTGAGGGAGAGGTGTTAAGTGGTGGGGCTTGCAGCCTGTGCCAGCATATGGTGGCAGAGTGCTTTGCAGGACAGGCCTTGGAAGAGCAGGACACGATATTCCTCCATCCCAGCACTTAATGCTGCTCACTCGTAACCAGATCGTGCTGTAATAAACTCGTGTTCCCTAAGAAGGCTGAACAAGCTGCACAGAGCAGGGGTAGGTTAATGTTGTGGTTGATCTTGTGTTCCTTAATGCAGAAGGCCCTGGGGGTTAATTTAAATGCAAAGCTTTCAGGGTCGCAGGGGTGCTGTTGCACAGGTACTTCCGCCGCGTTTGTGCTCTGGTGTGGTATTAAGAAGTTGATAGAAAAGAATGAAACCTGACAAGGAATCTGCTCTAAGAAATTATCTGAAGAAATTTCCATCTGTTCAGATATTTTTTGGATAAAGTGTGGAGTTTTTTTAACTTAATTGTTGCAGGCTTGCTTAAATTTAGCTTGTTATGTAAGATCAGCCCTTGCTGTCGTGTGGTTTACCAGGATGGATTTCCTAGGTCTTTATTTTGTCAGTTCTGTTTGCCAAAAAATAAGGTGCAGAGAGAGATCTGCTTTCATAACGTTCAGTAGAATAAAAGGTGATTTAGATGCCTATTTAAATATTTATATATATTTATATTTAAATATAATGTCATTAAGAATGCCGAGGGGAAAAACAAAAGTGTGCAAAGAAGGGTTTGCTCTTGACTGACACCAGGTACCAAAAGTGTTCACCCGTCCGAGCCCCTTGCCCATGCCCTGCCTCCACTCTAGCAGGGATTGCCACTGGTGGGACCGTGCTTGCAAAGTTGTGACTGCGGCTTTTACTGCAGCTTGGGGGGGAAGGAAGGGGAGGGTGTTAAGTGAAATAAAAGCAGAAGCTTGGAGGTAGCTCCCCTTCGGCACAGTTGCAAGGCTTGCAGACTGAGAAGGTAACTGGTTGAGATGAGTTTCTCTTTGCTCACCTATATTTGAACTCAGTGGTCACTGCTAGGCTCTGGCATTTTGTATTAACTTCTGTGGGTGAATGCAGGCTGCGTGCAGGAGTCTGTAAGCAATAATTAAACTGAATTTTAGATGTAATTCAAAACGTGAAAGAATGCCTGTGTAATTTAATTGTAGCTACCTGAGATAATGCAACCGAACAGAAACATCGATTTGGGTATTTATAGTTTAAATTGACTTAGACATGAAAAATGTATGCTTTGGTACAAGTGTAAACACAGAATTTTGAGAAGCATAAGGCCTAAGCTGATTGTGAATAAGGATTCTGTTGCTTGTCTGTCTCTTTCTGAGCATGTATTTGCACTAATAGATAACTGAGAAGTTCCTATCTGTGCTTCTGAGGGAGATGGATGTTATTCTGCAGACAGTTTGAGTATTTGAAGAAGCAGTCTTTCATCTCGCTTCTCGGATGTGTCACTGCATTGTCTAGAAAGACACAACTCACCCTGCAGTGAAGTTTAGCTCGTCAAAGAAGTAATCAGAGGCGTGTGGTATTGAGTTTCCCGTTCGCTTACTGAGAGAGACTGTGACTTGGCAGTTGAATTACCATTTGTCATTAGTTCATTTGTCCGGTACTTTATGATGTTTTGGGGCAGCTAATGTGCTGCTGGAGTTTCTCACTCGTGAAGAGCCAAAGCATCGTGCTTCAGCATTTTCATTATTAACTCATGCAGGCTTGTACTGCTGGTGTTTGTACACACAGACTGTGTCCTCGCTCATCTCATCACCGTTAATACTTGAAATCAGCTCCCACTGGCGCATTAACTCCTTTGAATCCATGTAGCTCTTAAAGTGAACTTAACCCAAGCTGGCAAAGCAGGAGAGACTCTCTTGATCAATCAGCATTAAATTACTATATTTACCCATTTTCATTGTGTGTTAACATAGAGATGTGCATGTTAACACCAGAGCTTGATGCTTCTGAGCTGGGACCGTTGGGGGCAGTAGCTGAAGCAGGACAAGGTGTCTTGGTGCCATCCCCAGGTCCAGCAGATTTGCTTAACTGCACCCTGGTTTGGCACCTCACCATGAACTATTCTGGGTCCCTCATTTGCTCAAAACAGCAATTTGCTCTTCAAGCATTCTCTGCTTCACATTAATTAATGTGTTCTGAAAGTGCTGAAAAAGACCCAGATTTGAGTTCCAGCCATAAACTCTGTCTGTGCCTCACGTTTCAGACTTTACAGCTGACTTTCAGAAGTCTCGGGTGTGTATTCTGAGAATAAGGAGCTGTCCTTTGCAGAAGTGCTCCTGTTTTGCTGGGGAGACATGCTGCTGCCATCTGGTGGGATTCCTACAAGTAATAATAACCATGATTAAAAAATTACCCATTGAACCTGCCAAGGCTTGAAGGGTTTGGTGAAGCCTTCTTAGCCGTGCAAGAGGTGCTCATGCTGTTGTATGCAGGGTTCCTCCACCGCTGAAGAGGAACTGCAGCTTCCGAGGAGGTAGGCAGGGAACAAATTACTTTTGCTGCTGTTGTTAAAACGCTGCTGCTGAAATGTCTTGTTGGTTGGGGTAGTTCTGCTTTAGTGAGGTAAGAAACTGTGGCTCTGCTAGGCATGTTTGTCTCTAATGCTGAGCAGTTATTGTCATTCATCAAAGATTGTGAAATCCAGCAACTGCTTTAGTATTAGCAAAAAGTTCCCCATCTCTGTGGGAAATGTGTTACAGAGACAATAGATACTGGTGTCTTGTTTTGTTGTTTTGAAGTCCCTGTTTACACAGTTTTAAATTGCACTGTATTCTTCTAATACTTTTTATTCAGGAAGTCAAACAGCAGTTTAACGTTCCAAATAGTTTGGCTGTTGATGTCGAGGTAGGACATTATGTGCAGGCTGCTGTAACTTTCAAAGGCAGGAATAATTCAGCCTAAATCTACCGTTCATTCCTGGCCTTCAGAGCCCTGGAAGCACTAAAGTCCATGCTAAATAAAAATTGAGAGAATATTGCACACAATTGATTGTTGCCTGGATCCTAGAACTATTTTTAAAGGGTTTTATCACTACGCTGATACTAAGCACGGCGGTAGGAAAGGCGTTCCCCAGGATAAACTGATAATCTCTTGTTACTTTAAAGGAACGTGTGCTGAGCCAGTGTGCAATCGAGATAATTTGTTTTGGACAAAATTGCTAGAATGTATATTAGGGGGAAAAAAAAAGACATTACAGCTTCAAAATGATGAATAATGGCAGATGAGAGCCCCTTCTGACCTGCGAACCACAAGGATGTTTTGCATAGTTAATGCAAATGGTAATGCAAAAGTCCTGCCTGGTGAGCATGGAAAGTTTAGAAAGAGCCGATTGAGGAACATTTGTTTTATCAAACCCTTTAAGACTTTTGGAGTGAGAGATTTTTTTCCCCTCAGCTAAAGCTGTTTATCTCATGACCTTTTTCCAGTCCCTCAAACCTGACCTGTTAGTGGAACACAGTACTCCAACGGCTGGGAAATGTCCCATGTAAATTAGCATTTAGATGGGCAGTTGTTTGCTTTGCTTTAGCCTGTTCCATCTGACATTTTGTGTTAGGCTGAAATGACTTTTTTGTTATTGATCAGCAAGATACAAAATGAGTCTCAAGTTTATCCTGGAGCTCTCACTGTGAGTGAGACTCAGCACTGAGTGGAGAGCTGTGAGCAAGAAGCGATAGCTCTGGGAGATGGAACAGAATATCCACCAGAATTGGATCAAGAGGCTCTGGAAGGAGTAATCCACACCAATGATGTTACTCAGAAGATCCCCACAAAACATTCAAAGTGAGCAAATCCAAGACAAATCCAAAGAGCCTTTTAAAGTACTGATGTTACAGCTGGCTAAGATGCAACAACAGTACTAATCAAGAATGTAACTCCTAAGAGTGGGAAGCATCTACAGTGTGAGGTGTTGATTTTTTGAGTGGTGAAATTTGCTTTAGAAAGGGGCAACAAAAGTGCTTAGAAATCATAAATACTGCTTATTAAATAATAGGTCAAAATAGTTAAAAAAGAAAAATCCAGGGTTTTTGGAGGCCTTGGTTGTCTGTGTCAGCTGCTGTGTGAGGAGGGGCACT